CTTTGATCTCAAAACAGAGTGCAGCAGTGCTCCCCAAAAAATGTTTTAAACTTGCCATATTTCCCAAACCCTACACTCCTCAGACATATTTTTTTCATGAAAAATGTAGGAAAACCTCTCCTAGGTTGGAAAATTAAAGAAAATTAAGAAGAAATATGAATCAAAATGCCTCTTGAGGGCATGAAGAGACAAAAAGTCCACCTAGCTCCCAATTGATTCCCATGTTAAATCTTTCCGGAACTTTCTTCAGAACAGAGAGAAGTACACTTTAGACAAACTGCTCCCATCTCCACATTTTACACACAAAACCAAAAACAACAACATATATCAGTTCATTGGGGTTCCCTGATGCTCACGGTCTGGACATTTTTTGATAGGAGTCATGGTTTTTGAACAGATGGCAAAATTGTCAGATACAAACCTCAATGCATTCTTAATGGGACTCAGTGCTGCAGTGGGTAAATTGTCATAAGTCGTCACCATGGTAACCTTTCATCTCTGGGTTTACACACACGGGTGTTTGTAAACATTCATCTCTCTCTCTCTCTCTCTCTCTCTCTCTCTCTCTCTCTCTCTCTCTCTCTCTCTCTCTCTCTCTCTCTCTCTCTCTCTCTCTCTCTCTCTCTCTCTCTCTCTCTCTCTCTCTCTCTCAGACAGACAGACAGACACTCTCTCTCTCTCTCTCTCACACACACACTCACACTCACACTCACACTCACTCTCTCTCTCTCTCACAGACAGACAGACACACACTCTCTCTCTCTCTCACACACACACAAACACACTCTCCCTCTCTCTCACAGACACATCAAGAGAAGAGGGGGCGATCAAGAGAAGTGAGAGAGGGTGATAGAAGAGTGATAGGGTGATCAAGAGAAGAGAGAGGGCGATCAAGAGGAGAGAGAGAGGGCGATCAAGAGGAGAGAGAGAGGGCGATCAAGAGGAGAGAGAGAGGGCGATCAAGAGGAGAGAGAGAGGGCGATCAAGAGAAGAGAGAGAGAGGGGGATCAAGAGGAGAGAGAGGGCGATCAAGAGAAGAGAGAGAGAAGAGAGAGAGGGCGATCAAGAGAAGAGAGAGAGGGCGATCAAGAGGAGAGAGAGAGGGCGATCAAGAGGAGAGAGAGAGGGCGATCAAGAGGAGAGAGAGAGAGAGGGCGAGCAAGAGAAGAGAGAGAGGGCGAGCAAGAGAAGAGAGAGAGAAGAGAGAGGGCGATCAAGAGAAGAGAGAGAGGGCGATAGAAGATTGAGAGGGTGATCAAGAGAAGAGAGAGAGAAGAGAGAGAGGGCGATCAAGAGAAGAGAGAGAGAGGGGGATCAAGAGGAGAGAGAGAGGGCGATCAAGAGAAGAGAGAGAGAAGAGAGAGAGGGCGATCAAGAGAAGAGAGAGAGGGCGATCAAGAGGAGAGAGAGAGGGCGATCAAGAGGAGAGAGAGAGGGCGATCAAGAGGAGAGAGAGAGAGAGGGCGATCAAGAGAAGAGAGAGGGCGATCAAGAGAAGAGAGAGAGGGCGAGCAAGAGAAGAGAGAGGGCGATCAAGAGAAGAGAGAGAGGGCGATAGAAGATTGAGAGGGTGATCAAGAGAAGAGAGAGAGAAGAGAGAGAGGGCGATCAAGAGAAGAGAGAGAGTAATGTAACCTCCTAATGTAATGTATTACTCCTATGAAAATGTTCAAAAAGTGCTCAAACTTCACATGTGTGCTAACAGTCCAGCCGTGAAGACATCTACGGCACAGTTTTGAGATTTCTTCAAATGCCGTTGCCATGACAACACAATGCTCACCATGAAACACGGTTTTCTCATAACTTCAGTGAAAATGATCGAAATGGCCCAAAACTTCACAGGTTTGGTAACGATGCAGCCATCAACACATCTAAGCGTATTATGGGGTGTCATCAAATGCCGTTGCCATGGCGACAGATAATTCACCATCAAGTTAGTTCAAAGGTTTGCAGTTCAAATATTCTGCTGCTTTCCCAAGCCTTTTTACTTTCTTTTCTCATCTTAATACAAATTCATTCACTACTACTTACATCTGATATTTAACTCCTTCAGCCTATTTTCAGCTGCAGAAACCATTCAACTATTACATTATTCAGCTATTTCAGGACATCAAGGCTATACATGTTTTTTTAAACCTTTTCTTTTAAATATTAAGCTTTTTCTGCATTTTTGTAGCTAAAAGCAGCTACCATTCAGCTAATAACATATTCAGCTTTTTCTGCATTTTCAGCTAAATTCAGCCACAAATGTTCACAGTTTACAGCATTCGCACGCATTTTCTGCAGGAAATGCATTTTCTAGTTTCTTTGGTGGTGCTGCTTACTTAACCAGGGAGGTCGAAGAGTTTGCTTGATTTTCCTTTTTCGGGGGGTGCTATGGAGTACAGAATGGAGGAGCAGGTGCTCAGTAGATCGTTTGTGTCCATATTTGGTTTAAGGAGATTTGTTTTCAAAGGCAGTGGCAAAGGCATTTTCCAACGTGTTTGACTGTGTTAATGTTAAAGACACAGATGTTGGTACTGTGGGAGACAGATGTGTGAGGAGGCAGTTCAACGTAATGGCTTTATGGTCCGATACATATAGACCTGCCTCATTCAGATCCACATAAAAACATTCAAACCAGAAGAAAGTACCAGGTCCAGAGTTAGTCCTTTCACATGTGTGGGTCCACTGATTGGGTCATATTAAAGGTTTTCATTCAATCTATCAAATCCAAAGGAAAAGGACCAGAAGGGCAGCACACGTGGATGTTCAAATCACCCAACATGAGTACTCTGTCAGAGCGAGGCTAAATCAAAGCTAAGAGATCAGAAACGTCATTTGTAACATTTGAGTCAAATTGTGGTGGTCTGTAGATTAAAACACACAGTAACAGGGTCTTGTGATTTGTAATAAAACATTTCCAATGCAGTGAGGTGAACATTTAAAATTCTTCTTATAAAACACTGGCGGTCCACCTCCACGACCTGGCAGGTTCAAATAGTTAGAATCAGGGGGACATACTTCATTTAGAGTCTACACCATGTCTCAGTTGTCATGAAGAAGTCGAGGTGATTTGAAGATATCAAATCATTGCAGAGAAATGACTGGTTTGTTATTGAGCTGGCATTCAGCAGCATGCTGAGCTGATGCATTGGGGATCATGGAATCAAAGGGGTGTTTTCATAATGACGTATATCAGATGGAGATGACTTTTCCTGCTCCAATAACACACTTTGTGGCTCGACCAACGTCTATGATCAAAAACTCTGATTGGATGAGCATGTGAGCGATTACTTGATAGAGAAGTATGTAACAAATTGGGCTGTGACGTTTTGTTACGGGTCTTTAATCGATCAGGTGTGTGAGGGGAGGAGGTCAATCATACCGGATAGCATTGCCTGCAGATCGAGTGACAGATTTGATAGTTCAAATCACGTTGTGGTTCGCCCCGTCTGTGTAGGTGCAGGGCGTCGAGTCTGTTCCAGAGCTTCTGGTGAATGCACTTGTTTGTGGCTCCAGCCTGCAGGCGGGTTGCCTTAAAGTCAACTCATTTCAATTAGCCTTGCTTTCGGATTGTTGCAACAATAATAAACATACATTTTGTATAATGCAATCATAAGTTCCAGTCCCATGTTGATAAGAGTATTACAAATGTATAAATATAAAAAATAACCCCCTTCCATTTAAACCATCAACAGAGCTATTTTCATGTCCAATATAAATAGTATAAAATAATATTAAGATCTAATAATGAACACCAGTCAAAGGCTTTATTTTCCGTTATTTTATTTTTCAATGTGAAATAGTCTTGTTCTTTCGTTATAAACATATAAACTCCATGGAAGCATGTGGTCATCCATGGCATCTGTACACACAGATCGACTCATTCAACCTGCACACAGATCACTTCCTGATAGGAAACATCCACTGTTGATTTATAACCACGTTTCTTTTCAAACCTTGGCCCTTTTCCACATCAGTCTCTCCTACACCACTGGACATAGGAAACGAAAATAAATTCTGAGAAAAGATTTCAAAAATAGCTTGATGGTTCAGTAGTAGAGAAAGGTAAAGGGCAACAAATTGAAGCTACGTAATCTGGTTGACCAGCCAACCAGGAAGATGTTGAGTGTTCTCGTTTTGTCGTTGGGAAAGGTCAAACTGTGACAAAGCCCAGCTCTTCCTTTACGCTGCTTAGTCAGTGGTAACTAGAACATCTTAACATAAGAGACATTACATCTGCATGGAAGTGTTGTGATTTGTGTCCAGGTCAGGCCGGTTAGGTGAGATTGGGAGCAGCACGATGTAGCCCCCTTCCAGTGGGGCTCGAAGACTTTGTCCAAGATTGATGTACCGGAACAACAAGAATCAGCCGTAGGGTTTGTTCCATATCGACTCAATCTGACTCTTCTCCATTTAATGCTCGCTGAGGTAAAATACAGTATTACTCATATTGATCACCATCCAGAACTCAAAGAATAACCTACATTTAAAATATATTCAATAATAATTCCGACTAAGGCCTTGTGTGTCAGAGTGGTCATGTGTGACAAGAGGTAGGCAGACTGACAGGTGATCAGGCCACCAGTAGAACCCTCCTCTGCATGTCAATAAAACACTTTAACTGGAACAGATCAGAGACAGGTCTTATTCCCATCTGCCATATTGAAAGCAAATCATATATTCTAAATGTTTCTTTTAGTTGAAAATGTATGGTTCTAGGACGCTCATGAATACTTTTAGATGTTTCTCACATAATGAGAAAATCAGCGTCAGCTATGTGAACCTCATCCAGCAGACGAATGAAACCATACAAGGAGTTCCAGTCAGGAGCTCAGCTGGACAGTGTCTGGTGAGTCTAGATGTAGTCATCGTCCACAGGCTCTCCTGGTGTGTCACAGTGATGGAGGAACAGGACTACGACCCTCTGGAAGACTCCTCTCTTGCTCTGCCTCCGCTCTGAGATCTCCTCCCCGATGGTCTCCATGCAGATGTCGGCTGACAGCTGGCCTTTACGCCTGGGTGCGTAGATGGTGGCTTACACACAACACAACAAAGAGGAAAAGTGTTTATATGTGTTGTTGTCAGCAACAGGGGCAATGCTCATGAATTGTGTACATTCAGGGATCAATCCCAGGCAGTGTGCTAAAGGAGGGATGGATGACTGCACTCACTGCTTTCATCGTCCTCAAAGTCGTAGCGGGCGTAGCTGTTGGGGTCCGCTGCCCTCAGGGTCCTCAGCCAGGGGAAGTCTGTTATCATGCTGTAGGGGGCCTCGTCCACCACCCCTGAACAACAACAGCAGAACACTTGCTTTGAACAAAAACGTTTGATGACTGAAGCACATGTGTCCTGTCTCACAGCTGATTGGTTGTTCAGGTATAATATGGTCAGTTAGGTCATCCCATTCGACTTATTTAATTTTGACTGAAACCATACATTCTTTATCCTTCATCCTTCTATGTGGTGCATTCAGAAGAGACCTAGCACTCTACGTCAGTTATTGAATGCACAGTAGACACTTCCTCCCTAATCAGAATGGAATACATCTTCTATACTGAAGTTTTGGTGTAGCACAGAAAAAGGTTTCTTATCTTTAAAACAGATCTGTGTCTGCTAAATAACTTATTTTGATCCCTATGCCATGAGTTAAACTGGGAGAATGGTACTTTCTTTATTATTAACCCGTTAAGCCCTGAGCCTGTTTTTCAGGTCTCAGGCTCGAAAATGACATGCCCAGAACAAATGACTATAACTTCACTTCTAAAAGGGGTAAATTAATAATCTTTTTTCTCAAAGCAATGATAAACCTGTGAGTTGGATGTAGAAAAGTCAGAATCAATATAGATGTTTTTTATTTGAAAGTAAATTCAGATTGAACATAGTAAAAAAACGTAAATTATAGTTTCTGTCCAAAATAAAAACATGACTTATAGTGAAAACCACCCTTGAATGATGGGATAGTAGACTAAAAGCTTTAGGAATCCAAACTATAACATATAATAAGTACCCTGTATCAAGATTGATGCAAAACAAGTGACATTTGACCTTTTTAGAGAGGTTTAGAAAAAGAAACCCACTTCTGGGGTCATTTGGGTGGATTTGCCATATCTCTCTGACACCTCTTTTGAACCGTTAGAGCCAATAGAATCGAGGGGAAGTTCCTAAATCCATCTAAACATTACCATTGGTGAAGAGAGTGATGTGTAGCCAGAATGCCCAAAAGCGGAAGCTGGGTTGTAGCTCTCACACACTCTATATGAAATCTTATGATGGATTATCAGTAATCATTTCAAAGTGACACAGAGACATTGGATTAACCTTCAGCAGCGCTTTTATGCGTTTTAATGCCATTGAACACAACTTTAGATCAGACAACAGCAAAGGTAAGACCTATTTGCCGTTTTGGCTCAGTAAAGCTAAGTTGTGTGTTATCTGGTTGTGCCTTCTCTGCCCTGAGTTCTGGTCGCACAGTGATTATAGAGTTGTGCTTCGTTTCAGTAAAAATGGTTCATATCGTCAGTTAGCTGAGTTTCTTCCCGTTAAGTGGGTATGACACATTCATAGGTTGTTAAATGTTAAGAAGCCCTGAGACACAGTTTCCGGGGCTTAAAGGTAGGGTAGGTAATTCACTTCAGATACACTTTGTGTTATATTCCATGGAATGCTCTTAACATCCCGATAGCAATGAATATCTTAAGTGCTTTGACCAAAAATCCATAAAAAAATGTCATCTGTGGAAGCTGTAATACTGTAAAAAGCACGACCAATCATTTGAGCCGGCCCGGCTAAAATAACTGGATGGCCTACCTGCCTGTCAGCCTTCCATCTGTGAACAAACTTATCATGTGCGCGTTCGTGTGTGTTGGAGGAGGGGCTCTGTAAGGAAGTCTGAAGGAAGGGGCAGATTTTCTCCGGTTGCGTACTTTCAAATTCTAGCGCACTCGAGCTGGTTTCTCCATTCTTACCTACCCTACCTTTAACAGGTTAAGGGATATGAAAATGTACAGAGGAGGAATAGGGCCATAAATCTATAGTCAGATAAAAGTCAGAATTCTGACTTATATCTAAGATCTAAAAATTCACATGTGTACTCTACCGTAAAATGGTGCCATTTGGTGTGTTCTGTACAGTGTTCCTGAGTGTGTAAGCATCACCTGCTCTGAATGTGTAACTGGCCACAGCGCAGGTTTGGTGGATGTGAACGTGTGTGTCTACCTTCAGTGGGGCACTAGAAAGGAGTGGGGGTCACAGTCTTACCCTCCAGTGTGTAGATGTCCCGGCCCCAGGGGTATTTGGGATACTTCTTCACATCCTCTTCTGTTCTTGAGGCCTCTGGGAAGAACTCATACTTGATCAACTCCCTGAGACAAAGACACACAGATCAATCAGGTTGTGTTTCAAATTGATTTGGCCTTATACTTGCTCAGTGACAATGTCTAAAGTTTTTACTGTTGATTTCATTAGATATCTTTCCGTTTCTGCTGCATGTAAAGTCCCCATCCCTTACCATGACCCCAACATGTCATCCACTAACACCTCTCGTTGCTTTTTTGAATATCCACTAGGGATGCTCCGATCGATCGGCCGATACTCACTCTCTGCCGATCGATCGGTGCTCTCTAAAAATGCCGATCGCGAGAGCCGATAGCATGACGTAAAATGATGACGTAAAATACATGACACTTTTCTCTGTGTGCGGCAAAACAAGCTCGCCAAAATGGCTTCACCGCTCTGGCAGTATTTTAAGGTGTCCGAAAATGACAATAAAATAGCGGTATGCAACGTGTGTGAAGCAGAAATCCTGCAGCTCCACCCGCTGTGACGGACCGGTGAGCGGAGCAAAACACACACTAAGAGTTAGACCTAACACACCTAGCTATTTTATCTACCTCTGGAACAAGCTAAACTAGTTATAAATATGTTTATTCTTCACTGTTGGGTCTCATTACTGGATCAGTGAGCTGCAGGAGATACTAACGGGCTGTCAGGAGAGAGAGAGAGAGAGAGAGGAAAAGAGAGCGCTCATTTCTCCCGTGTTATTATCCCAAGTTAATGTAAACTTGAATAATTTACTTCATTTGAATGTAATAATTATGTTGGTTGTTGTTTGTGGAAGCTCCAGTGAATGAGCCCCATTAACTGAGTTTTAAACATCACTTTAAATGGAAGATCCCCATAGGCCCCGCCCACTCGATCGGATCGGCGATCGGTATATACTGATTCCGGCGATCGGCCCCAAAATGGGCGATTGGAGCATCCCTAATATCCGCAGTCTGAGATCTTCCGGTTGTCTCTTTAGAATCACTTCTACATAATATTGAAGTCAGTTTCTATTGAAGGTGACTTCCTCTCCTGCAGGCACAGAATGCTGGTGCTCATTCTTTGCGATGTTAGAACATCGTCCCCACTGCTCTCTAATGTGCGTTTGGTGTGTCTGGCCTGCAGAATGAATATCTATTTACATTTTCCGAAAATGAACAGAAAATGATAGGCTTACTTTGAGGTCAATGTAACTATGTCATCACACTCTCATATAGAAGAAGTGTTCAGAGGCAGAGGGTAATAAGGGACTGATGTCTGACAGAATGCCCCTGATATCTGATCAGAACTTACTGGCTGATGTTGGCTATGGTGTCCATCCAGCTGCGGATGCGAACCTTATTGCGTATATTTGGAGGGTTGCTGAACTCATGCACTATGGCGATGTGATAGGGATAGGGCCCCTGGAAGAGCTGACGCTCCAATCCCACAGAGTCAATCTAAAGAGAGGAGAGAGAACAGGGGAAGTATAAGAAGAACCATTTCAACGTTATGGAAAACATGGGAAGTTTGCGTAACAGATGTAGGAGATGTTTCTCCATTTGCTGCAAAAAACTGATCTACAAACTGAAAGCAGTACAAATATGAATATTTGGTTGAAAACTAATTGAAATCCATGCAGTATATTGGTGTTTAGCCTCTTTCAAAATGGAGATCTATGGGGGAGATTTCATGTTGGTGCATACGGCTGGCCCCTGAGCGTCAGCAGACTGTTTGGTATCCAGATCTCAAGATGCTCTCATGGTTAACATAAAGAGGACCTACCTGGTGCATAGGGCGCATGTAGATGATGCGGTTCCTCTCAGGAGGCATTCTCAGTATCTGATCCAGGACCTGTTCCATGTCCAGCTTCTTACACTGGGCGAAATCAAAGCGGTTCACTATGGGTGCGCTCTCCACTCGCAGCTGCTTCAACACTCGACATCTGGTGGCTGCAGGCAGAGGGAGGAAACACACGGAGCACTTTGTGACTGAATGATTCGGACAAAGACTGAACCTACCCTGCCGACATTAGCTTTTTAAACTGGAGTCATTTAGAGAGGACTGTACTGCCATGAAGGAGAGTAACAAAGTTGTGTTGTCATAATGTTTGACTCATTTATATCAACGCAGGACACTGGATATAAGATGTCCGAACAACTGAGCTGTTACTACTGACTCTATAAAACACATATCCAACATGGCAGACAGTGTGGCTGATGTATTGGTATTTCTACAGTGCGAATGCTGTCATATTTGCAACTTTTTCCCCAAAAATGACAGTGTAAAATCAAAGATTGTGTTGCTAAAAGTTAGGTACCAAATAATGTTTAGATACGAATAACTTCTGTCTTACTCCGGAAACAAAATGACTTGTCTCTTATATTATGAGAAAGTAATAAAAGGATTTGTTACCATGTATGAACATCATCTTGGGGCAGTCTTTGAGGACCAGGTCAGTGATTCCACAGTTAGTCAGAGTGATGCCCACCAGGTTCTTACTCTTCAGAGACAACACCTGCACCAGCAAAAACATCTCAGTACACACAGGGTACACACAGGGTACACACAGAGTACACACAGAGTACACACAGTGTACACACACTCTTCAGAGACAACACCTGCACCAGCAAAAACATCTCAGTACACACAGGGTACACACAGGGTACACACAGGGTACACACAGAGTACACACAGTGTACACACACTCTTCAGAGACAACACCTGCACCAGCAAAAACATCTCAGTACACACAGGGTACACACAGGGTACCCACAGAGTACACACAGGGTACACACAGAGTACACACAGGGTACACACACTCTTCAGAGACAACACCTGCACCAGCAAAAACATCTCAGTACACACATGGTACACACAGGGTAAACCAAACAGCAGTGAAAGTCAGTGTTACACACACACCCCCCCCCCCCACAAGTGCATCCTGATCAATGGAGCCACAGAAGGCTACCATAGTGTTCTGATGTTAGACGACGAACATGAGGCTCTCCTCTAAGCCCCAACTGCAACACTTTGGCTCCCCCCAGGGGAACAAAATCCAAATTAAACTTTCATTTAAAAAAAACTAACTTAATAATAATGTTGCTTTTGGAATGTTACAATACACTATTTACAGTCCATATACACACACACAACGTATTGTTGGAATGACAGTGAATTCATGACACTGGTTTAACAGGGATAAACATTGACTAGAAGAAGGGTGAAGCCTCGGCACATACGCCAACGCTCACTTACACCAATAAATAATCATGAACATAATTGAGATCTCAATATTGATCAAAGTAATAGTTACTGCTTAATGTAATAAATACATAAAAAATGGCTCTTGCATATGCCCCTGCAGTTAAAATGGTGTGTGTGTGTGTGTGTGTGTGTGTACACGTACCTGTACGTGGTCGTCCTCGGTGACAGGGTCCGAGGTGCTGGTGGATTTGTCAGCCATTCGTTTCCTCCTCACTGCGACTCGAGGCCTGGCTCTTGAAAGATCTTAACATAAACAAAAATGTCACCTTAAACAAACTCAATTATAGCGTTAATTCAAATATACACTATAACTTTATAATCGTGTTAAATAATAAACTGTCTGTATACTCTTTATATCTTGCAACGTCAGTGCGGAGCAGTAGTGGCCTATGGAGCCTCGAGCCGCTAGCCTCAAGCAGAGGACTAGAGTCACAGCTTATATGTGGTGTTACCTTCAGACCCAGGGGGATCGGGATTCAATACTCAAATGACATAATGTCCTTTTGTAGAGATGATTCAATAAATGACTTCCCGTAGCTGTGCTGGCATGTATATGTATGTAGTGGTACTGTGCTTGGGTTAGTTCATATTAAGTCCGTTTGCATAACAGAGCTCTGTCCCTTCATGGACAGAAACCCTTTGGAGAGACTACATGAAACGTATCATGTTCAATACACTGATTCAGTCATTGTTAACCTCCACAGACTGTTACACCCATTTGGTGTATGCCACATGTTTATGTCCATACCATGACTTATGGGTAAAGCAATGAGCAAAGAAACAAAAGCCCCCAAAAATCTTTAAATGAATATCAAAACCCCTCCATTTGGTTTTCAGCCCTCATGATATCTTGTGTAGTTATTTATTTGATCTCTATAGTCTTTCAATGGATTGAGTGTAGATTAGAGGTTAATGACCTTTTTAAAGTCATTATTTTGAATTTCTGTGTTATTTGTTTCTCATTTGATTTTGAAGGGGGGCATATTGAAACACTGAGTGCAGAACCACCACTTACTGGGCTACATGGAACTACAAACCCAAGCCTTGGCACATAAAGGAAAGCACGATCAGTGCCACTCCCCTGAAGTGATGATCATGGGACATTCAGTGTGTTCTGTGTTCAGTTACCTGTCTCAGATATCAGCGACACAGGGGTCATACGAGTGCAAGATCGGGTCAAAGGTCTTCTAGGAACAAAGTCCTTGTCTCCGGGCTGACCGTGCTGTGACTCTGACCCGTCAGCAGGGGCAGGTCTCTCTCCCTGTGCAGGCAGCAGTGATGCTCTCCTGTAGGCATGGTTGACAGCAGCACACCTGGGAGCCCCGTTGTCCACACAAGCAGAGCTCTTCTCAGTCCCTGCTCCAGAGGGGCCTTCTGGGCCCTCACTTGGCCTGCCAGTTCCTGTTGCTCTCTCAGTGGTTGTGGTTGCTCTGTGGGAGGTCCCCATCACCACCCTCCCACATCCACCTACCTGCCTGGAAGAGGCTGCTCCAGGTCCAGCCCAGGCAGCAGAGCCAGTGAGCGGCCTCCCTCCAGGGCCCCGCCCTGTCCCAGTGTCCCCCCCGAGGCGAGCAGCAGCCTCCGTTCCTTTAGCACTAGTCCTCCTGCTGGTGTCAGCAGCAGCCTTCATGTCGGCTTTGATCTGTTCACTGGTCACCTGGCAGCTCTTCTCACAGCTGCTCTCTGACAGCTGAGCCTTCGTCAGGTCAGGCGAGTCTGCCGCTGATCCGGCCACGTTGTTGCTCCGCCTCAGAGGAGTCTTTCCTTTCCCTGGAAACACATACATGTTTATTTGACATACACGGGACAACCCAAGCTCTTTGTTTTAAACCATGTTCTTATGCTACTAGCCACATTTGTGTGTAGATCCTTTTGTATTGAACAAGAAGCCCTTATACTGTAGCTGTTGTGTTACTGACCCCAGTCTACACCCACAACCCATTGTGTCATGTCATGTTATAATGACTGGTGTTCTGTGAAATACTGTTACCTTCTGCACAGGAAGCTGGCTGCTGCAAACAGGAAGCTGGCATTAGCCTTGATACAAGACATTCCTCTTCCTCACTGTCAGAGTCTGAGATGACCGGGGGGGGCTTTGGAACAGCTGCCCCTGCTGCTCTGTTCTGCTGTACTAAGCCACTGGGACCTGGAATTGGGAAAGACAGATCAGTAGACATCCACAATGATTAGGAAAAGCATTTTCTTTTTTGACATGTGAGCATGAACACATCCTTGATGAGACTCAGCGTTCCCAGTCAATACAACACTGAGGAAGTGAATGCTTCCATTTACTACATCAGAACTGAGTGTACGCCAATATGAAATGTGCCACATGTAATCCCTGCTACTGTCAACAACAACACAACAAGCTGCAAACCTGCTTGCTCCTCGTCGGGGCGTTGTGGTGTTTCAGCCAGACGACTGGGCCCTGGAGCTGCGTCCGCCCCCTCAGCTCTCACCTCCCCTTGTGCTCCTTTCAGCTCCATTTGATGCTCTGCCTCCATGTTCTCCTCCTCCAACATCACCTCCTCCTCCTCCTCTTCCTCATCCTCCATCCCATTTACCTCTGCTGCTGCAGTGAAAAGAAGCATGTGTTACATACCAATCACCACAGTCCCTGGTACAGCACCAGACACCAACACTGACTAGAACCACCCTGTTGTACAACAGTTGCTATTACGGTATACTATTTACTTTTGCTATGACTTGTTGATACTTCAATATTCAGCACTGTTGAGAGATGACAGTTATATTTATTAATGAATGATGTTACTTTCATATGTTCACTTTTTGATGATGCTGCTACTTATGTCTTACCACAGACGTGTGTTCATTAGATTTGTTTATATGAACAATGTTATTAAATAAACTCCTAAGTGAATATGCTACTCTACTAATGTTGATTTGTCTGCACTGCTCTATGATTTGACATGTCCTTTCTGTAGGACCAATAAAGGATATCTGATTCTGATTAGATGCTCTCTCCCAGAAACTATGGACAGATGGGAAAGTGATCTACTAACTACACTGCATTCAGATTGTTGGTGATAGAACGTTGCCTTTAGGTTGCACAACATTCACATGTCCAAGTCTGAATCACTTCACATCACTGAATCACATTTAGCTCACTTCATCTCCGGCAGAGCACGAGCATAACCCCAGAAAGGTTCAGGTGTACTTTCTAAAGACTACGGGTTGGAAAAGGTACGCTTGTTTTAAGACTCCAGAAGCTAAAGGCCACAATAGCATTTAGCTGCTGTGTTGAACTGCTGTTCCACTAGGACTGCAGGTAGGACTTACCGTTGTGCTCCTGCTGCTGTCTCTGGTTGTTGTTGTTGTTGTTGTTGATGATGTTGACAGGTGGAGGGGCAGGGGGCATGTTGGGCTCATTGTTGTGGTGGTGGTGGTTGTTGTTGTTGTCATTGTCGTTGTTAGAGTTCTGGTTGCTGACAAGTGCTGAGGACACGCCGATACCAGTCCCTGCACTCAGCCCCACCCTGGCACAGCCCTGTCTCACACAGGACACGCAGAACATGCATGAGCACATACAATGGTTTCAGAAACAATAGTCTCAGTTCATTGTTGTTGTTGAAAGCATTCAGTTGTTTCCCCTTTTCATTACAACTACTCAGCCATGGAGGGCTGCTGTGCTCTACAACTGGCGAGAACAACTCATTATGTGATGAGTCCTGACAAAATGTCCAGTTGGGCTGGTCGATAGGCATGTCTAGGGTATTTAAGTGTATTTTAGTCGCTTTGAAGAAAAGGGTCAGCTAAATAATATGTGATGTAAAGTGGTATCGTCGTGAAACCAAAAATGTTGACCATGACAGGAAAAAAACAGCTAACTTGTGTTTTTTTTTAAAATCTCTAATTGGACAGAAAAACTACGAGGCGAAAACACACACACCTGTCTACATCAAGGGATCTGAGGGGGAGAAGTATATATATATATATATGTATGTAGTGTATACCTTGGGTGGTTCTCTAAACATCTGGTCCAGACAGATGAACTCCAGGCTGGGAAGTGCCTCGATGAACTGGGAAAAGGATTCCAGTTTGATGGCATGACAGCGAACCAGAGTGAGATCGACCAGACGACTCCATCTGGACTGATCTGAGAACAGACAAAGGCAGAGATAACAGCTACACACAGCACTACAACAATGCAACAACTGAAAGACTAAAGACAGCAGCAAAATACAACTTCTATTACATAGAGCCCACATTAATATGAGCGTCTTGTGAGACATACTTCAGGCAACTAGTGATGTCTGTGGAGTGTGAGTGTTACCTGTGATCCAGTGGTGAGGGTTATGCAGGTGAGGACAATTGTAGATCAGCAGGTACTTGATGTTAGTGAACACCTCGTTCACTACCTTCACTCCAATATCAGTGATGATGCCTGGGTTCTCAATGACATCAGCCAGACCATACTTCACCAGCTCCGAATGAGTCATCTTACCTACACATACATAAAGAAAGAAAAGCAGCAGCAGCTAGAGAAGGAGAGCCATGGTTGTCTATGGTTTGATAATATAATAATATATTAACATGGAAATCAAGCACAAGAAAAGCATGGAAATGCTGAAGATATTTGGAGGAAACTTACATTGCAGCAGGAACTCATCCACATATCCCAGATGAAGTGTCTCAAACTGAGGAAACTCTAGTTCAGCCATTTTCAGGGCTGAGAAGACGCCATCTTTGGTCAGAGAAGGCTGGATACGCAGCTCATGAAGCCTGTTGAACAGACACAAATCATGTCATTAGGAACCTTTAGTGCTCTGAAGTTAAGGACAGCTTTTCTTTCAACTCCATGTTAACCTGGGCATCAGTGAGCTTCTTACTTCCATGTCCTGTGTTTATGCTTTGCTCTGTACAGTGTGTCCAACATCTACCCTAATAGTGTAGTAGCCAGCTCTAGAGTCCTATTGTTAACCAGGAATTGTTGAGTTGAGTACCCCCAAAGTTTTAAGTTAGAAATGTATAGTACGGGTCCCTAGCACATTCAAACTGTCGGATGCTAACTTGCATATGTTGGGCAACTTGCCACCAAACGTTGGTGTACTCAACCTTTCAGGGTTCGGTTGAGATCTCCATATTAGGTTGAATAATGCTAACGAAAGTTAGTTCTAATCAAATATATTATAATCTTCATATTTTATGATGTTCTATATTTACAGTATAAACAAAACACAAGTGGTTTGTTAAGTTAAGATGTCACTGATAAGAGAGGAGACCGTTTCTTCCCTCTTAGCAGTACACAGGGGGGGGGGGGGGGGGGGGGGGCTCCTGACTTTTTGGAGAAATACTAAGGCCCCAAAAATGTGTTTATGCCATAGCCGAGAATAATATTTTGCAAGTCCTGCACACTAGAGGCCATGCCCAGTTTCCACAAATATGGGTATGGAGGAGGTGTCTTTAGGTTTTTCTGTCCTGATTCGAGCATAAAAACACTAGCAGGTCTCCCTTGAAAAAGAGATCTATGATCTCAAGGGACAATCTGGATAAATAAAATGAAATTAAATGAAATGACTAGCAGAGAAGGAGCAAACTCGAGAGAGGGGGGGTTATCCCCTGGTATGCTCTCTCCCGGTAAGCTCTCTCATTATTACATTACATGTTACTTTTATCCAAAGTGACTTACATACTCAATACAGTGGGCAATCCCCACAGGAGCACTTTGGGGTGAAGTGTCTTCAGGGACACAACGACATGCTGACTGCAGTGGGGTTTGAACCTGTGGTCCTTTGATCAGAACACCAACGCTCTATGCACTGCGCCACACGCCTCTCCCTGGAGAGCTGGGTTTTTCCTCCCTAAGGTTCTCTCAAATTTGGTAAATATTGCTCGAATTTCTTTGATGAAGCTGAGTGAATTGTTCAAGGTTCAAGGTTCAAGGTTCTTTATTGTCAATCTGACATAGCTACAGAGTAATTATGTAGTTGAAAATCTTATGTCACAGGCTTCTCCAACAATGCAACATAATAACATAATAACAATAAGAGCAAGAGCAATACAAAAAGAATAATAGTTATAAAGTTATGATGTGTGTGATGTTGGATGAAAGTTTGGAACTGTTAGATTCCACTGACCGAGGAACCGCCTCTGAATGTCGTCAGGCTATAGGTGTGAATGTTTAGACCCGGCGGTCCGTGAGGAGATTCCTTTGGATTATGTCGAAAGACTTAAATGTCAAAACTAGTAATTAAGGTTTCACATTAGAAAATGACCACAGCATGATATGTTTTATATTGTTGTCATATTGTAACGAGAGAAGGTAAAACCCTGTTCAAGTGTGGACCAATTTTTCTTCAAATAAACTGATCCTACCTTTTGGACTGAGACAACTTAAAAGACATCTGTGCTCTCCTCTCCTGCTTCAAAGGTAAGATTGCACCCTGCCACACTCACACTTAGGTAGGGCCACACCTCATTACTGATATCAAAATCCTTCGGGATCACTTAAACAGATTTAGAGGGTCGTCTGAATTCAAACAGCAGTTCATTGAACCTGGTTCTTCAGGAGTTAATAGAGGTGAGATCTTGCTGACGTTGGTGGATCTGAGCCAAGCAGTAAACGTACATAGACTCAATAACTTCTGTTAGGTCAATTAGTAGGTCCGAGTAATTTGCCAGAATAAATGATCAGGCCTCCAGACTCCAACAGTTCACACTGCCGGCAACTAGACCATAAAGTGGAACCTGTGGTGTTTCTATGGAAACTCTAGCTGTACATGCAGTTAGTTGAATGAACTGGTTGATGGTTGAGCACCTGCGAGCAGCAGTGATGATGAGGTAACCCAGGTCCACTTCCAGAGAGTTCTTACACGCTCCAAACACAATGGTGTGGAGGTTCCGAAATCCTCCTGGAGAGACACATACGCAATATCACAGACACCGTCTTTGTTGTGTATTCAATTGAATATAGGTCAAAAATGATTTGAAAATAATTGTATTCTGTTTCTATTTACATTTAATACAACGTCCCAACTCTATTGGAATTGGGGTTTGTACAATCATAAAACATTCTATGACCAACATAAATATTTATAACACTTTCCAACCATAATTACATTTTATAATTACTTTTTGTAAATAATATACTTGTTTCACACACGCGCCCTCCTCACCTGACCTCCAGCTGTCTTCCACCACATGTTGGATCAGCCCCCCCAGGAAGGGAACCCTCACCAGTTCCAACTGCTCAAGGTTCCGAGCTGATGCTAAACCCGTTACCAGGGGAACGTATTTGAGGGAGTTCGTTGGCCCTGCACAGTTGCGCATGACAAAGGTTCTCAGGCTCACACACAGGAAGTCCTTAAACGGCTGAGGTTTGGTGAGGCGGACCCACTTCAGGTAAAGATGGCGCAGCATGGACACGCAGGGGATCTCTGGGACATTCACACCTACAACAAACAGACACTTTGTGAAGTTCATCAATTACAGTGCTGCTGTTTTTCAAACTAAGGTGACACGACATGGCTCTTGCAGGTCCATTTACAAGCCCCACAAGCTCCTGCACTAACGAGAATAAATGGATTTACATATTTCAATTAAATTGTATTTCAGCTGCAATTTGTAGGCAGTAGCAGGAGTTTTGGCTTTATTGTGGCGTTTCTTACCCACGAGATGTAGGGTCTGGATCTTTGCAGTTATGGGGATGGTCAGTTTGTTCTCAGCAGGAATGGGAAAGGCCCCGTTACGGTTGCGGAACTTCCCCAGTATATGAACCTGAGGCATGTAGTTCCATATGGCTTCCACCAGCTCCAGGTGGGACGTCTCCACGCCCTGGAATTCAGGAAAATCCAGTTATTTGACAAAACCCATCAAAATGCAAGGTCCACTTGCTAGCTGTTTTTCTTCCAGTAGATAGTGTGCTTAGCTGTAATGGCGATAGCTTGATTCACATCTCTATTCACTTAGGAAGACACAGATATACAGTTGAAAGCTTGCTCGTTAACACTTTTCCTGGAATAGTCATTTGACAAATCCAAATGTTGAATCCTACAAATACATTCAGATTTCTAACAGCGCAGCGACACCATCAAGGTGTCAAAGGAGAAAAAGGAGTATGTGACATTAGCTTCATAATGTAACAATTAAATGGTGACATTAGTTCCCATAGCTCTTGTGTTCTCACAAGGACGCATCACATACTGGCACTCTTCATAATAATTATAACTTTATTTGTATAGGGCCTTTCAAGAACAGACTTAGGAAGGAGCCTGAGGTCCATCAGGAACAAAACCTCACCTCACAAAATGTGTTTGTACCCGACTGCAGCTTGCCTCATCAGCAAGGTCGTGCCTTGCTGTATACTCAATACTATTCACATTTGCACATTCGTTGATAAATACTATATATATCTATGCAATGGTCAGGTTTTTGAAAAATGGGGCCCCCTGAACAGTATAGTTTAATAGCCCTGCTGACTTTTCTACAGACTATAAAAACATCACAAGCCTCTGTTATGACTTACTCCGTTATGTGCCACAGAATGCTCAAAGTATGCAATCTTTGTAATACAAAAACATGGTACAGCTGGATAGATTGAAACCTGATGCAAGGAAGCCTTGCTGCAGAAGAGAATCATTGTCAAAAATATACTGACCAGCAGATTGGGACAGGCTTGTAGTGCCTCAAGGACTCCAGGTATACTGAAAGCCTCGTAGGCTCGGACTCGCCTCCTCTCCAGGTATCGAGGGTGGAGGCCATATAGCTGCTCCAGATCTGGCATCTTCTTCAAAAGGAGCAGAAAACTGCCATCTGTAAAGCCTGACCCAGAAAAAGCAGTACATTCAGACCATTTCCTCAACATATATGAAAACAAACCAAAGGTTGCTAATGCATAAACACACTCACCAGTACAACATGGTCGCCCCCCCATGCTATACTGTGGCAATTCCCCGTTCACCATCGCTCAGCAGAACACTGCAGCTGCTCTGTAGCTGCTGCTATTGTCACTCTCCTGATGCTTTCCAAAAGCACTTTACTTTTCTCTCACTACAGTTCCCCCTGTTGCAGCTCTCATTACATCTGAGACTCTTATCTAGCACAAAGTCATTGTCTGAACCCTATACTCCGGCTGGACCATCACACTCTTCTGCCTCTGGATGAAGAGGACCCTGTGACATCGCCTCATCTTCTCTGTTTTTTGTTCTGGTTCCACAATGGTGGAATAATTCCCCCCGCTGAAGTCAGGACAGCAGAGTCACTGACCATGTTTCCCCTTTTCAGCCCGCACTTCTACACCACATGACAGAAAATACTAATGACAAATTGAACATGCTCTTAGTTTGGTTTTGTTGGTAAGGGAAGCAGTGGTTGTGCTCTCACCTGAAGGCATGTACTCCCACCAGCGGCCGGCACACAGGTCCACCACCTTGACCACGCGCAGGTACAGAGTCACAGCTTCTCGAAGCTTTCTGGACAGACACTCCATACACATGATGTCCTTCATGGGAAGGTACCTAGGAAACCAAACAACGTTTAAACCTTTCAAACCTTTCAAACCTTTCGCACTTTTGGCTTAGGTCAATGTGTAACTCATTTCAGTCTACTACTTTAAATGTACACACATTCAATTTACGAAATGTTAAACGAAATGTGGGCTTAAAACACAATGAAACAACATTTTCAAAGGTGTTGAAGGTGAGTTATATAAAACTAAGTTAATAAATATCACTGTGACCAAAAAAAGTGCATATTATGGCGTACAGACCAATTACTTGCAAATGCTGAAAGGGCATTTTTCTACAACATTAATAATAACTATAGTTTGATCGGTGGGCTCTATAAAGGTTGATCAGAAAGACAATCAAGGGGCGTAGACTGTGAATTCAAACGGGTTTTATTAACCATTTGTCTGCTTTCTCTGCCATTAGGAGAATATGTAGGCCAAAAGCTGAGGGAAATGATTTGTGTTAAGCGTTACTGCCTAGTCATTTCAACATTATTTTTTTCTTTTTAAAATCATGCAGAAGTCTTTTGAAGGGACTTGTCTTATTTGAAATATCCTACTTTACAATAAAATATGAATATTAATTCTTGAAGATGACGTTCTTTAAATAGCCTTCCTAACAATATTTTTTAAGACCAATAATAAACACAGATGATATTTGACTGGATTTTCTCCCATTTGTCCGAGACATTGAAATCTTCACAGACATGTTGACCGCTGAAACTTTGTTTTCTCCTGATAATTATTTATACCAACACCCCCACATGGCATTGTACCTGAATATATGACAGAGGACTTCATGGGACAGCTCATTGATGTAGTCTTTGGGCTCACTGGGTCTCAGGAGCACTTCCCCTCCACTGCTGCCCACCACAGGCTGCGGTTTAGAGGCCTTCTTCCTCGGCCCCATCACTGTGCGACACTGCCCAGGCTTGAAGACAGACACACACTTCCTCCCTCCTGCAGGGGCGCTAGTTCCTAGGCAGGAACCTTAGTTTGGGACAAACATCACAAACCAAGATAAGTAAATGGGATCAAGGGGAAAGGATACAGAAGTAGGGGTGCTTGTCATTTGCATTACTTCAGGTCTCTAGCTCGAAATTGAGACATTTGATCGGGTTAAACCTGTGGGTTGGATAGAACTATACAGTACAATTTGAGATATTTAGACTATTATTTCAACATTCTCTTAAACATTTAGGTTACTAAACCAGGTATACACATATAAGGCACTCATCATAACCTGGATTATACAATTGTGAATTTGATAACCGAATAATAATAAATGTTGAGGCAAATATTGAATCCATTAAAACAGACTTTGCAGTAATATGCGTTCGTTAACTGGTTTGACTGATCAGAGTGCAGATCATGCAAGCATAATTGTCTGACAGTTGGAGGAAGAAACTATCAGAAGCTTCACGTGGGAGGACATCCAACCAGAGCTATAGTGCTGAGTGAGAACATCACAGCATGTGGAACAGCTTCACACCAACATGAGGACTTGTAGTGCTTTTTGTTAACGTAACTCAGTAATGTCCAGGTACACCTTGTTTCAGGGCGTGTAAGGGAAGTCTCAAATAAAACCACTCACTAATGATAAGGCACTGTATATAACCTGAAACAAGCTTTGAGCAAACCACCAACACATTAGCAGCTTTACGTATGGTTGTAACCAACGATAGAACATTATGCTGACCGTTGGACGGTTACTGACAGGGGGAACACTTTAAACTGAAGACCTGCCTCAGCGTAATGATGCAATAAAGTTCAGCAGTCTTTGTCAAAGCTAGCTTACTAGTTAGCACATCCGCAGCTAACATTGAACACAGACACAAATCATAAAAGTAAACAATACAGGAAGTGACTGGCTGCCCTGCACCGCTTCCACACGGAGAGTGTTCCGACCTACCGCATGGCTCAGTCAAAGCCACTGGTGTGGCGCTTCCTTTAAGTACAGCAGCTAAAAAGCTGTGCTTTTCCTCTTCTTCTTTTTCTCCTTCTTCTTCTGATTATACTTCTTCTTCTTTTCTTCTTCTTCTGCTGATGCTGCTGCTGCTTCTTCTTCTTTAGCTTTAGATCGGCTGGCTACCAGCGTCAAGGCAGACACCGCCACCTACTGGGTTGGAGTGTGGAACAGAATTATCTATCTGATTATCCAGAAAATAAATGTAATAGAGAAGTAAACTTCACTTACTGAACAACCCGTATCTATGGGCAGTCTGTTTTCAACCACAGAGCAAGCCATAAGATAAGTTCAAAATCTGCATTAGAAAATATCCAGAAGGCACGAACACATCAAACTTCTTCTTCTTCTTTTTGGTTTTAAGAGGCGGTTGGCATCCAGACCTTGCATTACCGCCTACTACTTTTCCAAAAAAAAACACCTATAATAACTAACGGGAATTACTAATATAGGTAAAAGGGAAAGAAAATACACATAATTAAGCTAAACATACACATAATTAAGCTAAACATTTTAACCACTTAAGCAACCGTTGACAATTTACTAGCGGTAATTAGCGGTCGAGAGTCCCGGGCTGATTTGTAGACCCAGTCCGCCCCTGCCTAGTAATATCATTGCTCTAGTCTAGACTCTGAGAGGACATGAACGCCTCTCTCAGCAGCCCCTGCACTTCCTCTCCACTAACTCCCACAATATTCGGAAACCTCGCAGCATATTTCAATTTCAATTATCTCAGACTTCCTTTCTGCCTCGGTTGACAGTTGATCACCATTGCCAGAAACACTAAGAATGTAGTCTTGTCCTTACACTATAATCCTCATGACTCCTACCTGATGTACACTCCCTATTTTCTCGACCCTTTCTTTGGCTCCTCTTCGTCATGCATTGTTTTCTTGGATCTATTGTTGATATTTTAAATCTCACGTTTTCTATTTGGACAATCAGATCTCCATGCTTCGTAATTCCCCCCAAACTAACAACACTTTGGTTCATTCTCACAGTTTCTACTGCTGCACAACTCATCATCACATTTTCCACAAATCCCCAAGGCATTTCTACAGACCAAAGAACTGTGACCAAACTTCCAACATCGTCTGTATTGGCTTGGGTACAAACATCCTCACTGGGTAATTGATGTGATCCAGGAGAACTCAGTATTAACGTGTAGAATGACCGACCTTGTTTGTGACCTTTGTCCATCACTCATCCGGTACATTCTGTGGCTGTCTACAACTCTGTCCACGTTTTGAATCTACTGGCATCAAGTGACAACACCTCGGAGGTCTTTTAGATAGCTTGATGCTCAACACTTGGTATTCCTACAATGTTGTTAATCTCAACGCTTTCTTGATCTGTGCTTGTGACAAACTCTCCACACCGATCAATCCACTTCTCTTTACATCAACTAAATGAACATCGCCCAGTTTTTCCATGATCCAACATGCTACGTACCTCGTGCTTGTCAGACAGAAGTCCAGCTACATTGCTCCCAGTCAGTTTTATTCCAGCCAAATATATTTCATCTTTGTTGTCATTATTTTCACTTTTACTTGACACATCTTCTCTTTTCTTCTTTTTCCTTCCTGGTTTTGTACTGCTGCTCCTTTCAAAATCGTCTACTTCCATATTCCTTTCGGTCCCAATATAGACAACTCGTAAACATGTAGCAGCCCATGGCGGACCGACCCATGGGGCTTGGAGGCACGAGGAGCGATCTCTGAATCTTCAGCGATTATCGAGGAACCACCAGAATAATGTGAATAACTTTACACTATGCCTGACACAGCTTTGCTGCTTTACTCCCCATGCACTGCATGAACTCCACTGTTCCATATATGTTTTAGATGTTGTTGGAGCAGAACACCTCTGCTACGCGCCGTTCGTTGGATGAGGCTGGATCTCTATTAAATTAAGAAAGGAATTGAAAACACCGGAATCAAAGTTATAACAAATTATCTGAGTTTACTTCTGGTAGGAAACCAAACACATATACAAGTTATACAGAGTACTCGAGTACTCCGGGCTTCAGGTTTGTGATGCGATGCAGATAAAGGTGTCGGGACCCGCCAACTCGTCAAACGAGATGAAAGTGACTTCAAGTTTGTGATGCGATGCGGACACAGATATCGGGACCTGCCACTCACCAAACCAAAAAGCATTTTTACACTCAAAAACATCAGTATTCATATCTATTTTTGGGGCGGAGATCAGTCGACTCTTCCTTCCCATTTTCCTCCCAAGCGAATCAGAGTTCCCCTGGGGAGGAGCTGTGTAAACTGCTCACCTCCCCCAAGTGGTCTTATTGGTTGGATTCACATCTGGTCTGGTTCAATCAGAGTTCGGACCAGAACGTGAGATCAGGTCAAAAGTCAACGTTTATCTCCACCCTATCTACTCTACATTCCCTTCCCATGGGGTTTTTTCACATAAACTATCCTCCTTGAGACATTTAAACTTTTCTTCACCTATTTAACGATGTCTTTAACGACTTAAAAACAACATCTGGCTTTTAGGGGTGAAAAAGGCCAAGTTGGTGTGTGAAACAGAATCTCTGGATCAGTGAGTTTGAAAGTGAGAATAACATTCCTATTCTAAGTGATTATCAAAACCCGTTTGTGATTACCTAAAACAGTTCAAACAATACATGTTCACTTCAATACAGTGTAGAATCATATCTTTTTACTTCAATGTGCATTCATCATTCATCATATAGAAGCTTGCTCTCATGTGCTTTTAGTCTCATCAGCATGCGTTGTAGTCTTTTTGGAACACTGAGCAGTGGGTTTGTCATGGTCTGTTTATACTTCCACAGACCGGCATATGTGAACTGATGAAACCTCTCCATGCCATAGATAGAGAACAGCCAACTGTCCCTTCTCTTTTTGTGGGTAGCCCCTCTCTGTATCTGTCAGTGCTCTACTGGCATATGCAACAAGCTGTCCATTTTGCATTTGGGCCGCTCCAACCTGCTCTCTGATGCATCACACTGTAATGTTAGCCTGTCAGCTGGGTGCAGCACAGCGGTCAGAGAGATCACCTTTTTGATCCTATCGGGAAAAAAATGATGTCGCTCTGACCACTCCCATATCACATCCTTGTGGGTCAACTCTCCCAGAGGTACACAGAGTTCAGAGAGGTTTTCACAGAATTTGGCCAAGTAGTTGACCATGCCTAAAGAACGCATTACCCCTTTTGCATCTGTGGATCCCCTTTGCTTTTCAGCCTCTCTGAGGTTAGGAGATGTCCAATGTATGGCACCTCTGTAAGCCTAATTTGTAGCTCCTTTGAATTTAGCTTCACATTTAATAAAAATCCTGAAAACACACATTATGACTCAACTAATATGGTGCCGCAGATGGCTGCCTCTGTGTTGTGGTGCGCTCTGTTTTCAGAATCAGAATACAGAACTTTGTCTTGTTTTGAGCGTTTATTCATTTTTTACACTCAGTACTGTTGGGGAAATATTTTCCTGTGCCCATAACTTTGACCCAGTTGATCAGTTTGTACTGCCCTCACTGAGCACAGGCCTGCAACCTTTGGTGCTGTGCTCTCAGTGTGTTGTCTCCCTGTTCCTGCCTATTGGCGTTAGCTGATAGAGGTGTTATTGTGCTTCTCCTGTTTTATCTTGTTATGTGTGACCGGAGGTCTTCCCCCTCTGTGCCGCTGCTTGGCACCGTGCCAGCGCACTAATTGAGCACACCTGCTATTTAAGTGGAGGTGACAAATCTGGTCCCTCCCCTCTCCGCTTCTCCCTTGTGGCTGCAGCCTGGCGTGGCAGCGTAAATTGTTTGGCGTGACAGCTCGCGCATCACACTCTCTACCAGACAGGTAAAGCACCTTGCATTCTGTCATTTATTCCTGGGCACAAGCAACACCCGGCTTGACACTACTCTGTCTAAAGGTCCTTATACACCAAGCCAATTTTGGCCGTCGATAGATGTCGATAGATGTCTGGCCGTCGATGAGCGTTGTGTCGCCCTACTCAGATTGGTGTGTCTTGGTGTGTCCCGCCCCGTTGTGTCTTTTCGGCCATGCCGACACTTTCCGCCGCCGCTGTCGGTAAAAGGCCGTCAGCTAAAGAAATCACTCTGATTGGCTGTTCAGCTTAGCGAATCAGTGCATGAGAAGCGAAACGGAAGTGAGGGACCCAAACAAACTATTAAGAAGGCAAATCTGAGATTTCATTTAACTCCAGCTCTCGACACAGGTTGGGGAAAGCCCCATGAGCTTCTCGCTGTAGAGTGAAAATGGAACGCACACGCTATTTGTTGTTTGTTTATATCACGCAGTCTGTTCTTCTTCTCTCGGTGTATCACGCAGTCTGTCTTCCGGTTGTTGCCTCTTTTGAATGACGAATACACACTACCGCCACCTGCTGGTAAGGAGAGTTATTGCCACTCACGCATGCACAGTTCGTATGTGCTACTTGGCCGTCGGCTGAAGTCTTTGCGGTGTGTTCCAGTGCGACTGTTGGCCAAGACGCAGGAGACGTGAGGCGACACAACAGTCGTGTTCCGTCGGGACGTGTTCTTTGGTGTCAGTTTGGTGTGTAGGCCCCTTTAGCGCAGCTGACGTCCGGTGCTTTTTGAGGAGGATTTGCTCCGCCGGAGGCTCCCTGGTCGCAGTGTTGCAACTATTGGTGAGTTGCCGTTGTCTGCCGTTTTCTCACCTTTGGCTTGGTTCCTCTGGTGTATTGATTGTTATTCATGTCACAGCGGGATTTGGCCGTGGGATTGGTGAATCTCTCCCTTCCTTGTGGGCTCTGTGACTGCGACTGGCCGCACAGGCTGGTATGTATGAGCTCCCCCATACTATAGATAACTTTTCATTTCATATACTTAAGTATTCACAGTCATTCTAAACCTCTTTCCAGGGGTGCCGTAAACACTCTCCCTTAAGGCCCTGACACACCAAACAGACACCAAAGAACACGTCCCGACGGACCCGATTGTTGTGTCGCCTCAGGTCTCCTGCGTCTTGGCCAAAATGTCGCACTGGAACACACCGCAAAGACTTCAGCCGACGGCCAAGTAGCACGTACGCACTGCGCATGCGTGAGTGGCAATAACTCTCCTTACCAGCAAGCG